CGGGAGCTTGAGGCAGGAGAATTGCTTGAACCAGGGAGTCGGAGATTGCAGTGAGCGGAGATCGCGCCACTGCACTCCAGCCTCGTGACAGAGTGAGACTCTGTCTAAAAAAAAAGAAAAAAAACAAAAAAACAAACTGTATCCCCTAGTGTAACTTCAATTTCCTTCTGCCACCATCTGCCCACCACCTCCTGTTTATCTATTTTTTCTACTCACTGTCTCTAGTACACCAGCAATCCATCCTGAAATCCATTGATCCTACCACCTTTTTGGGTTCTCTGCACTCCTCTGTCCCCACTTCCTCCTTTACCCTGACCAGACACTGTGGGCCATCATTACAACCACTCCCTTGCCCGCAGCTCAGCTCCCTTGCCCGCCCCCTTCTTGCTTTTTCATATTTGCCCAGCAAATCCCTAATCTTGGCAAAACCCCTCTCTCCATCTTCTCCCCACCTGCACTTGGAGGGACTAGAAAAGGAAAAACTCAGACACCCTAACTGACCATGCCCATCTACCTTACAGGGGGCCTGAGGCTGTCTGGTAAACCCATTACACGGCTGGGCCCATTATCTCTGCCATGCTCTGGGGTGGTGAATTCACACGTTTTCTTCTCTTCAGCCTCAGCACCCTCTTCCTGCTCTTCACTCAGCTGAGGACACTGCTTCTTATTTCTCTGGAAAAATGGAAGCCATCAGGGGAAAGCTTCCTAAGGTTCCCATCGCAGACCCAGTGCATGTCACCTGTCTAAGCCACCTTCCTCCTGTGACTCAGAGGGACTCTGCTGCCAACCCTCCCCGTGCCCTTGACCCCACCCTCTCGATTCCTCAGGGACTCCACACTTGCCTTGTCCCTTCTCTTCCTTCTGCATCATCAGTTTCCGGTCTCTCCTGGCTTATTCTAGCCAGCATTACACACATGGTTTAACAGCTCCTCCCCTTAAAGCAAAATCCTCCCTTAGTCCCACACCCATCTCCAGGGTCAGTCCCATGTCTCTGCTCCTTTTATAGCAAAGTTCCTTGGAGGCGTGGCCTCCACTTCCTCTGGTCCCATACTTATGCTTCACTCCAATCAGGCGGTTGTCCCCAGAACACTCTCTTGTCTCTTAAAACTGCTCTCATTGCTGGGCACAGTGGCTCGCGCCTATAATACCAGCACTTTGGGAGGCCGAGGCAGGCAGATTGCTTGAGGTCAGGGGTTCAAGACCAGCCTGGCCAACATGGTGAAACCCCATCTCTACTACAGAAATTAGCCAGGTGTGGCGGCGTGCGCCTGTATTCCCAGCTACTTGGGAGGCTGAGGCAGGAGAATCGCTTGAACCTGGGAGGCAGAGGTTGCAGAGAACTGAGATCATGCCACTGCACTCCAGCCTGGGCTACAGAGCAAGACTTCATCTCCAAAAAAAAAAAAAAAAAAAAGACCAAACCAAACCAAAAAACGAAAAACCCCTGCTCTTGTCAAGGTCACTGGTGATCTCCACTTTGCCAATTTCAAAGGTCAATTCTCACTCCTTATCTTCAAAAACCTTCCTGCAACATTTGACTAACCAAGCTAGCTGAGCCCTTGCCCTTGAAACGCTTTCTTCCCTGGCCAGGACTCTCCCACATTTGCCTCCTACTTTGTGGGCCCCTCCCTGGTCTCCTTTCCTGCTTTTCCTCCCCACCCTCACCTCTACTCCTGGCACATTCCAGGGCTCCTCTCTCTCTACACTTATCCTTGAGGATCTCATCCAGATGCCTGGCTTTGACAATCATCTATGTTTTGTTGGTTCCTAAGTGTATATTTCTAGTCCCCACCGCCCGTTGCATCCAGGCCACTTGACGCTACGCTCTACTCAGGATGCTACCGGATGGCTCACAGGCATCCAATGTGTCCAAAACTGAGGTCCTAGTTTCCCTCCCAGACTCCTCCCACTTCATTAAACGACAGCTCCAGTCTTCCAGTTGCTCAGGCCAAAACTTTGGAGTTATTCTTGAATCCTTTCTTTTTCTCAAGCCCCACATTTAATCAGCCAATCATGTCAACTTTACCTTCAGATATATCTGGAGTCTGAGCACTTGTCCCCACCTTCACCAGACTTCCCGGCTGCCACATGTCCTTTCCCCTCGATGATTGCAGCAGCCTTCTAACTGGCCTCCTGCTTCTACCCTGGCCTCCCCTGGTCCATACTTCATGCAGAAGACAGACCAGTTCCTTTACAATGCAAAGAGCAGTCCTCTGCTCACATGCCCAGTGACTTCCTGTCTCCCGGAGAGATCCGATGAGGCCCCTCAGGAATAGCTCCTGACATCACCTGGTGTAGCCCCTCAGATCTGCCCCCATCTTTCTGCACTCCATCCAGCGGCTGCCTTGCTGTAGTTGAACAAGCCAGCCGTGCTCCTGCATCTCAGCATTTGTGCTGGCGGTTCCCTTTAGCTGGAATGCTCTGCCCCCAGATATTGGCACAATCGCTGTCTCACTCTTAGGCAGAGCTCAGCTCCAATGTGCCCTCTTCAGTGAGTCCCCTCTTCCGACTATCTAAAGTAGCAGCTGCCTCATGTTCACATGGAGCTATCACCAAGCTGTTTTCTTCCCAACACTTACTGTTATCTGAAATAATCTTATTTATTTCTTTGTGTATTGTTCGTCTTATCCACCAGAATGGAAGCTTTATGGTGGCAGAAATTGTCCCACAAGCTAGCACAGAGCCTACCACATGGTTGCCGGGGCTGCCACAGAAGGTTGTAAAGGTTGTTCACTACATCAGAGCTCTTGGCTGAGGAGCCATGGGTGCTGATACCCAGTTTGCCCTCTGTTCTCCACGATGTGGGGCCGTCCAGCAGCTAGCCATCTGCTTTTCAGCAATGTGTGACATATGGGCTGGCTGTGACTCTGGTGGCCATTCAAAAAATATTCATTGAATAAATTACTGAATGATGGATGTGCAGACCCTCTGCTTGTTTTCCTCTGCAGGACTTCATGCCAATTACCTTCTCACAGCCTCATTTTCCTTTTCCATTAAGGGGACAGTTAACATCTACCTCATAGCATGGTTACAAGGATTAAGTGAAACAGTTCATTAAAAAGCTGGCATAAATGTGATTCCATTTATAAGAAATATCCAGAACAGGCAAATCCATAGAGACTGAAAGCAAATTAATGGTCGTGAAAGACTGGGGGGAAAGGGACGTGGGAAATACTGCTTAATTGGTCAGGGGTATCCCTTTGGGGTGATGAAAATGTTTTAGAACTAGAGTGATGGTTGCATGACATTATGAATGTACTACACACTACTGAACCGTGTACCAGGAAATGGCTAACATGGGGAATTTTATGTTATATGAATTAGGTTATGGTATATGAACACCTCAATTTAACAAAACCTGGCACAGTGTCTAGGACGTGGTAGGTGCTCAATGAATATCAGTTGAATCTCATGATTTCCTTGCTTCAAAAACAAAGTAAAACCCTAAGCCCTCCTTGGTGCCTCATTGCCCCATCCAGGATAATCCTCTCTTTCCTCAAATTTGTTTCAGAAGAGTATACTGTTGCCATTTTAGATATGGGGGATATGATGGGAACAAGACCAATGCAGAGCCCACTCCCAGGGTTTACAGGTTGGGGGAAACTAAAGAGAAAATCACACCCGACATGGTTCAGGATATAGGGGAGAAGGGCCACCATCTGCAGGGGTGCAGTGGAGAGTGGGGAAGGCAGGAGTCCCAGGAGAAGGGAGCAGAGCCAGGGAGATGAGAGGGCATGGTGGGTTCAGGGAATAGAAGAGAGTTTGGTGGTCAGGCGCAGTGGCTCATGCCTGTAATCCCAGCACTTGGAAGGCTGAGGCGGGCAGATCACTTGAGGTCAGGAGTTCGAGACCAGCCTGGCCAACATGGCAAAAACCTGTCTCTCCTAGGAATACAAAAATTAGCTGGGTGTGGTGGTGCATGCCTGTAATCTAGCCACTCCGGAGGCTGAGGCAGGAGAATCGCTTGAACCCCAGGGCCGCAGGTTGCAGTGAACTGAGATAGCACCACTGTACTCTAACCTGGGTGACAGAGACTCAAAAAAAAAAGAAAATAGAAAAAAGAAAATAGTTTGGTATAGCTGCAGCAGAGGAGGCAGGATAGGTGGGAAGGGATGCCCTGAAGGTTCAGATTTCAATCTAAGATTTTCAAGGCCAAGTGTGAACTGGCCTCCACCTTCCAGCCACAGTTCTACCATGCCTTGTTTGCATCTCCTCTCTGTACCCCCCCCTTTTATTTTTTTGAGACAGGGTCTTGCTCTGTAGCCCAGGCTGGAGTGTAATGGCACAATCATGGCTCACTGTAGTCTAAAACTTCTGGGCTCTGGCAGTCCTCCCGCCTCAGCTTCCCCAGTAGCTAGGACTACAGGTGAGCATTATCACACCCAACTAATTTTTGTGTTTGTAGTAGAGATGGGGTCTCCCTATGTTGCCCAGGCTGATCTCCAACTCACGGGCTCAAGCAATCAACCCGCTTCGGCCTCCCAAAGTGCTGGGATTACAGGCGTGAGCCACCATGCCTGGCCTCTCTGCAGCCCTTGTTCCCACTGTGCCTTGTCTCTCCTTGTGAATTCGGGGCCTCCAGGCCTTGGCACGTGCTGTCCTTCTTCCCTTAGGTAGTTACGGGGAGCCTGGCCTGATTCAGTACTGTGCTGGGAGCCACAGGCTGTCAAAGCCTGGCCCCGCCCTGGGAAAGCGAATAATCACAGGATAATGAGGAATGCTGTGGGTGCTCTGGGCGTGGAAGAGTAGGGGCTTGCAGGGTAGAGGGAGGGCTCAGGGAAGGTGATTCCTGAACTGGAACTTGAAGAACAGGGGGCACCAGGCCCAGAGACGAGGAGTAAAGCTAAAGGGAATCAGAGAGCACCCGGGAGAGCTTCAGAGGCTGGCTTGTGGGGTCACAGAATCCTGAGATCCAGATGAAGGTTGAGCCCCCATCCAGATCCACCACTCACCCCCTACCCAGTTACACACCCATTTGCAGGCAATTTGGGACAGTTCTTGGTCCTTCTGGCTTTGCCTGGAAAGAATGCCCTCCCCACCCGCTCTGGTTCCAGCCCACCACCCTTACAGGCCTGCAAAGCTCCTGCTTCAACTCTGGACTTTGTACCAGTCACCGGACATTCAGTTGTTTATCAGCCTGAGCATCTGCCCGCTGAGGTGTCTGCCTCTCTAGGGGCCGCTGGACCCTTCTCTGGATCCCAGCTGTACAAACCCCCAGCATTGGGGGGTGAGGGTGAGGTCTACACCCATAAAGTTCTTGGCAAAAGCCTGGGGGAGACGTAGAATGATCCCTCCCCACTGGAGGCGCTGCCGCAGCCCGCCCCTCTGCCCGACCTGCAACTTCGGCCCCGCCCACTGCCTCCGCAGGTGAGTCAAGCTTGGCCTTGACCCGCCCACCTGTCCAGGTTCTGCCGGCCCCAGCCGGAAGCTTACTCCGCGGACTGTGCACAGTTGTTGAGGTGGGAACAGAAGGCTCGGGGGGGCCGGGGAGGGGGTACCCAGGCTCTGCACAGATCCTCAGGGGCTCCTGGCAGCGGGAAAGAAGCTACACATCAGAGTGGGGGTAGGTGTCTGTGCATGTCAGAGGGTGTGTTTGTTGGTGGAGGAAAGTGTGACCTGGGGGGAGGGGCGACTATGCGTATGTGTGTATGGGGGATGGGCAGGTCAGTGTGGGCTGTGAGTTCAGAGGCTTGTTGGGGAGTGTATATGTGCCCTTGGAAGGTTAGTGTGTGTGTGTCTTCTTGGGAAGAATTCACAGGGCAGGGAGGAAAGGAATAGGAGTACAACCTTAGAAACGTCAGACTGAATTCAGTTCATTCCAGTGTTACACATTCTCATGTTTTGCGGACCTAGTGCTAGGCTGAGGCCCACAGCAGGCTGAGAAATGAATGAGCAGGTGACCTCTCCTTCCTAGGACGTCTCTCCTGCTCCCCTCGTTAATGTCACAAGCACCACACTGAGCGGCTGAGTGCCCAGCTCCCTGCAGCACGAGGGTACAGATCCATCAGCCAGCACTTGACCACGGGGAGCTGCCCGCCTAGCAATGACTGGTTCTGACTGATGGTTGACTGGGCAGGATGGTGACAGGTCACCCAGGGTAGGTCCAGGGACAACCTCACAGGCAGGTATGGTCTGATTTGGCCTTGACAGACTGGGGCCCCAAAAACTGAGGAGGGTGTGGCCAGGGAGCAGGAGGGTGGGTGAGTGGGAGGGTGGCGTGTGTGTCTGTCTGGAGTGCTGGGGAGGGAACTGTGGAGAAGAGGAAGAAGAGTTTGGCTTGAGGGCCATGTGCTGGATTGCAAGGCACTGTGGGGAATGGGGAGCGTTTAAAGGAATTTTAACCAGGCTAGTGATGGGGTCAGAGTTGGGTTCTAGGCCAATCACTCCGGGGAAGAGACCAGAGGTGGGGAGACCAGTTAGGAGATTATGGCTAGAGTACAAGAGGAAGGTGGCTTGGACTCAGCTGTGGCAGAGGGGTGGAGAGAAGGGTATTGTCATTCCAGAGATGTTTAGTGGAAGAGATGATGGGGCTTGATGCCAGGTTGGACGTGAGGAGGTGGGGGGGAATTTTGAAGGCACTTGTATCAAAGAATATACTGGGGTACTCCCCTCAGCTTCTCTCCTAAGTACTTTCCTAGCCAGGCTACTCTGCCCCCAAGGACTCCCTTGGTTCAGGTGCTCCACCTGCAGATACGCTCCTGCCCTAGCTCTTCGTCTGCCAGGTACTTCTAACTTTCATGCTCCTCCTCTAGATACTCCCCAGATTCAGGTGTGCCTCCTCCAGACACTCCAGGTGTTTCCAAGCCTGGATGATCTTCCTCCAGTTACTCCCCTAATTGAAGTGTTTCTCCTGTAGGTGTCCCCAGCCCTGGGTGGTAATTTCCTGATTCAGGTGATCCTCATTTGAATACTCCCTGGCTTGAGCCTCCCTCTAGGGGCAGAGTGTGGGCCTCCTGTAAGTAGAGGTGAATGGACAGGGATTTGCTTGAAGGGCTGAGAGTAGAGGTGGGCAGCAGCTGCTTTCAACTTAGAGGCAGAAGGGCCAGGGCTGCTCTGGCTGTGTCCAGGGCCCCTGTCCTCAGCTGGGACTTGCATCACTCTCCCCATATGTAGTCTCCGCTTTGGCTGGGTAGCGCCAAGCAATTGCTGTTTTCTGACCTTTGGGAGCCAGGACCCACCTCTGCCCCTGTCTCCCATCCTTAGCTTACCAAGCAATGCAACAGACTGGGCTCTGGGTTCGAATCTGGGGACTTTGGTTGAGTCAGTTCACCTTTTTCAGCCTCAGAGCCCTCATCTATAAAGTGGGGATAATGTTTATACCTACCTTACTGGGTTTTGTGAGCATGATGCCTGGTGCTTGAATTACAAGGAATGCTCAGTAAGTTCTACAATTTAGTTATTTTTTTTTTTTAGCATCTTCCAGAGCAAAACCCTGTGATGGTCCCTTACAAATAGCCAGTTTCTGTAGGCTCAGCTTGTTTCTCTTCTGTGGACAACTGGTGTGGTCAGTTGTCCAGTCCCCAGAGTTTGTGCAGCACTACCATGGCTGTGAGTGTGACCTGGAAAGTGCACCCTGTGACCGTCCCTGACACCCATACCTATGTTATTTTCTAGGACTTGTGCCCTGGGGCTGCCTGGCATCTGGGGGCGTCCTCAGAGCCAGGGCTCTTTCTGGTTGAGGCTGAGACTCACTGGTGTCATCAGGCCCCTCCATGAATGAGACAAACAAAAGTGAGTGACAGTGGGAGGATGATGGGGGTGAGGGGCTTCCCCTTAGAGGCTGGGGTTGGGGGAAGGACCCTACCCGCACTCCTGTTGGTTTCTCCAGGGAGCCCCCTCTGGGGCCCACCTATAATGCTATCCCTTTCTCTGCAGCACTTGTGGGGCCCTCGGAGCTCCCCACAGCATCTGCTGTGGCCCCTGGCCCAGGCACTGGGGCTCGGGCGTGGCCTGTGCTGGTAGGATTTGTGCTGGGGGCTGTGGTCCTCTCGCTCCTCATCGCACTGGCTGCCAAATGCCACCTCTGCCGCCGATACCATGCCAGCTACCGGCACCGCCCACTGCCTGGGACAGGAAGGGGGGGCCGCCCACAGGTGGCTGAAGATGAGGATGATGATGGCTTCATCGAGGACAATTACATTCAGCCTGGGACTGGCGAGCTGGGGACAGAGGGTAGCAGGGACAACTTCTCCCTCTGAGCTCCCATCTTTGGACTCTCCCCATTCCCTCCATGCCTGACAGCTTAAGGACAGTGGTTATGACACGGGGGTTCCTCGAACCTCAGGGACAGAGGTGGCTGGGGCTTAAAGGTTGGTCAGGGATGGAGTAAACCTCACTTTCCTGACACTAGCCAGCAAAGTGACAATGACCCTCCCTTGCTCAATAACTCTCAATGGTTCCCTGCTGTTCTCAGGATAAAGCCAAACAAAGGCTTGAGTGTGGCTATAAGGCCCTCTGTGATCATGCCTCCGGGCCTCTTGGTTTCTTTTCTTGCCTTCCCCTACTTTACTCTCGAACTAAATGTTATTCTCCCTCCCACCACTTGCCATGCAGTTTCCCCAGGCACCTTTGCTCACATTGGTCCCCCTGCCTATGCTACTCTTCTCCTAAATCCTCTATGACTGTGATGGCCTGCCTACCTGCCAGCATTTCAAATATGCCCAGATGGTAACATTTGTGCAGGTGAAAACCAGTGCCAAGCTTCATTTTTTCTTTTTTCATTTTTCTTTTTTTTCTCCTGAGACGGAGTCTCACTCTGTTGCCCAGGCTGGAGCGCAATGGCACGTCTTGGCTCACTGCAACCTCCGCCTCCCAGGTTCAAGTGATTCTCCTGCCTCAGCCTCCCAAGTAGCTGGGATTGCAGGTGTCTGCTACCACGCCCGGCTAATTTTTTGTATTTTTAGTAGAGTCAGGGTTTCACTGTGTTAGCCAGGATGGTCTCGATCTCCTGATTTCATGATCCACCTGCCTCGGCCTCCCAAAGTGCTGGGATTACAGGCAAAAGCCACTGCACCCGGCCACTAATTTTTATATTTTTAGTAGAGATGGGGTTTCGCCATGTTGGCCAGGATGGTCTCAAACTCTTGATGTCAGGTAATCTGCCCGCCTTGGCTTCCCAAAGTGCTGGGATTACAGGCGTGAGCCACTGTGCCCAGCCAGCTTCTTAATGAATTGTTTTCCTATAAATAAAGTGGGTAATCTGGTTATAATATGTTTTTCACAGGAATTAATGAATCTATTTTCATTTTGAATAAAAATAAAAAATTGTCACTCATTTTTATTTTTCTGGAGCTGGGCTTTATCTCTCAGAGCTAGAAGACACTGCTCAGATGTTCCCCCCTCCACAACACCTTCCATGAGCCCTTCTCTAGTATTGTCCTGTCCACATTTTGTTTTCATCTTTTTGTTTGTTTGTTTTGAGACGGAGTCTTGGTCTTGTTGCCCAGGCTGGAGTGCAGTGGCGCAATCTTGGCTCACTGCAACCTCCACCTCCCATGTTCAAGCGATTCTCCCACCTCAGCCTCCCAAGTAGCTGGGATTACAGGCACCCACCACCACACCCAGCTAATTTTTGTATTTTTAGTAGAGATGGGGTTTTTCCATACTGGCCAGGTTGGTCTCAAACTGCTGACCTCAGGTGATCTGCCCTCCAAAAGGTGACTCAGCCTCCCAAAGTGGTAGGATTACAGGTGTGAGCCACCACACCTGGCCATCTTTTTTTTTTTTTTTGCCACAGGGTCTTTCTCTATCACCCAAGCTGCAGTATGGTGGGGCTATCACAGCTCACTGTAGCCTCCACCTCCTGTGCTTAAGTGATCCTCCCATCTCAGCCTCCCAAGTAGCTGGGAATACATGCATGTGCCACTGTGCATGGCTATTTTCTGTAGAGATGGCGTCTCACTGTATCACCCAGGCTTGTCTTGAACTCCTAGACTTTAGTAATCCTCCTGCCTCTGCCTCCCAAAGTGCTGGGATTTACAGGCTTATTTTAATCTCTATGACAGTTTGTACTTGCCCCTTACTATGCCTGCCCCCATAGCTAAACTGGGAGCTCCCTGAGGCCCCAGGCTGTGTCTTATTCTGTATCCTCAGATTCTTGCACAAGGGAGCTAGTTTTAAGATGGAAAAGACTTGAGTTAAGCTATTTTTAATTGCAAGCAATAGAAAGGAGTTTGGGGGAGAATCCTGGCTGTTGCATAGAATCAAAGGGACAGCAGGAAGCAGGCAGTCCCAGCAGCCAGAGGTCAGGCATTTCACATCTAGCATCCTGTTATTTAGGGGCACTGATGGGACTCTCTATAACCAGGACTTCCAAACTCTCAATTCCAAGTTTCAAGTGCTCAGACAAGAGAATCAGTTTGGCCTAGCTTTGGTCAAGTATACAGGGGCTTAAAGCATAATCTGCTGTGAGTCCAAGGGACATGGTTTTGGGAACCTATCTGTTTGTTCCAGATCATTCTCAGACAAGAGGCAGTTCTCATGAGCCAGGCAGCCGCCCCCATGTGTTCCCCAAGTACAGTGTCAGCCTTTGAGGAATGAGCTGGTACAGAAGGGAAGTGAGGCATTGGCAAATGTAGTGAGGTGCTTGCGGGAGATTGAGGAGGACTTGAGTGTAGTGTCTGAGAGGTGCCCATGGTAGTGAGGAAGCCCAAGAGTGGACTGGATCTGTTAGGGTCTTGGATGCCAAGCTCACACTTCAACCCGAGAACAATGGAGGCTCATCTGTGGACTTTTTTTGTGCAAGGGCATGACATAATCATGATAGAAAAGTCATTCTGGCTGCTGTGCAGAGATGGATTAGGGGGAGACACTGAGAGAAGGTGATAAGACCTGACTAAGGTGTGACATAGGAACAGACTCCGAGACAGGAGGGAGGAATTGCTGATAGGACCTGTTGACTTTGGATATGGGGAGTAGGTAGGTATCAGAAAAAACCGCCCTGGCTTCTGGCTTGGTTGCTGGGTGCATGGACAAAGAGCAGGTCGGGGCAATGGGGATTCAGTGTTGGATGCAGGATTTCAGGGGAGATGCCTCGGGGCCGCTGGGTTCACAGGGAGAAGTCTAGTCTGCAGACACAGGCTTGGGAACACTTAGCACCAGGGTCACTGAGAGCGGGAGTGGATGAGATCACCAGGGAGGAGCGGAGTGGGAAACACATCTCAAGATTGTCAGCGGACCAAGGCCTGGCAAGGGAGTTGGAGGAAGCAGAGAGGAGGGAAGCCCAGCTCACATGACCCCCAACCTGGCCATGGTTCCTGAGTCCAGAGATGGTCTGCCCCTCACAGGCCTGGGGAGAGCAGAGGCTGCCCCAGCCTGAGACCCTGGAGGAAGACCCCAGAGACTGACCTAAGGGGCATGTCCTGGCCTTCAAGGAAATCCTGCTGCCCAGGCAGCTGGGCCTGCCCCCTGCCCCTGGGCTCCTTCGACTGCCACCACGGAGGAGCTGCCCTGTGTGTAGTTCTGTGCTCGGCTGGCCCTGTTCTCCTGTACTCTTTCGGGCATCAGTCAGAACCTCTGAGGGACCCAGGAGAAGAAGGTAATGGCCTGATCCCAGACCCGCAGTTGATTTTGCTGAGCCTATGCCCTGCAGGGTGCCCGAGCCGGGGCTTCCCCTCAGAACCTGCTGTGGGTGGCCAGCCTGCCTGAGCAGGGCCCTGTAGTCAAAACAACCTTGGACCCTATTCTTCAAGGCCTTGATTCCTTGGAGGAATTTCTTCCCACTGTGGTTTGCGTGCCTGGCCTCAAGTGCAAGGAGGGAGCATGACCTGGGCCCACAGGCGCAAAGGGCTGGGAGTGTTGGAGCTGCTGGGAGCTTGGGATGCGGCCAGGCCCTCTTTGGTTTGGCCTCTTCTGGCTTCGGGTCCTGGCCCCACCTACCTCTGCCCCTGGTCCTTCACCTTGTCCTCCACTCCTTGGCAGCTGCCACTACCTACTCTGCCTTGGGAATCCCAACCCAGCCACCCACTGTCTCATCCTGCTGCCTCAAAGGCAAGGCAACATCCCTTGCACTGTGTGGAGGCCAAAGATGGAGTCCCACAAAGCCACCAACATGACGATTAAGAAACTCTAGCAGTTGGCCAGGCGCGGTGGCTCACGCCTGTAATCCCAGCACTTCGGGAGGCTGAGGCGGGCAGATCACGAGGTCAGGAGATTAAGACCATCCTGGCTAACACGGTGAAACCCGTCTCTACTGAAAATACAAAACATCAGCTGGGTGTGGTGGCGAGTGCCTGTAGTCCCAGCTACTCAGGAGGCTGAGGCAGGAGAATGATGTGAACCTGGGAGGTGGAGCTTGCAGTGAGCTGAGATGGCGCCACTGCACTCCAGCCTAGGTGACAGAGAGAGACTCCGTCTCAGAAAAAAAAAAAAAAAGGAAACTCCAGCAATTTCCTAGCAGACTGGCAAAGTGAGTTGAGGGCACATGTTACCTGAATTTAAATCCTGGCTCGGCCATGTATATGCTGGGAGGCCTTGGGCAAGTTACTTAGCCTCTCAGCGCCCCAACTTCTCAGTGAAATGGGGATTAAAACAGTGCTTACCTCATAAGGTTGTTAGCAGGATGAAATGAGTCTATGTCAAGTGGAACCGAGCGGAGCAAGTGCTCTGCAGTGTTAGTGATATCCCTGTGGGCACCCTGAGGGCAACAGCTCCTCATAAGAGGTAACCAGTGTTCGTCCTGAGGGAGGGGGTTGCTCATCTCCTTCCTCCTCATTCCCTTCCCGCTGGGGATTTGATTGTCTCTTTCTCAGGACTTAGGTTGGAAGATCTGGTCAGGACAGCAAAGGATTTGAATTAGAATCTCTGATGCTGTAGAATAATAGTACTGATGTTGTTCTAGCACTTTTTTTTTTTTTTTTTTTGAGACGGAAGTCTTGCTCTGTCACCCAGGCTGGAGTGCAATGGTGCGATCTCAGCTCACTGTAACCTCCACCCTCCTGGGTTCAAGTGATTTTCCTGCCTCAGCCTCCTGAGTAGCTGGGATTACAGGCATGCACCATCATGCCCAGCTAAGTTTTTTGTATTTTTAGTAGAGACGGGGTTTCACCATGGTGGCCAGTCTGGTCTTGAACTTCTGACCTCAAGTGATCCACCTGCCTTGACCTCCCAAAGTGCTGGGATTACAGGCGTGGGCCACCGCGCCCAGCTGTTCTAACATTTTCTTACAACAGCCCTGCTTAATCTATGTTATAGATTGAGAAGATGAGGCTCAAACAAGTTCACTGCAATTTGCTCACCTCACTCCACAATAACACCGTTATCTCACCTTGAAGTAACAATGAAATAGACTCAGAGAAGGACCCTCTTGGCTGTTGGACTCTCATCTTGCCTGGGCTGGGTCCTCCCACCTTCACCCTCTACAGTGAATAGGGGCTGAGAAGTCTCAGGGTACAAGGTCCAGTTTTTGGAGAGCAGGTCGTGAGGGTAGAGCTGGTGTGTCCCGTCCCTGGCTGAGCTTGGCCCTCAGCTTCTGTTGCCCTCCAGGTATCTGGGGTGGCTGCCAGGGCTATGCCCAGGGGAGTCTCACAGGACCCCTGCAGAAGGCAGAAAGGCAGCCCCTGTCCTTGTGCTCCTGCATGAGCTGAGTGTGACGGGGCATGTGCAGGTCCCTTGGGGCCTGGAGGAAGCTCCTTCAAGGAGACCTGAGTGTCCAGAGGCCCGAGGTCTCCTGTGAGATGTGACTGGATGTGATGTGAGGACCACCTGGACTGGACCAGATTTGGCAGTTTTTTTTTTTTTTTTTTTTTTTTTTTTTTTGAGACAGAGTCTCGCTCTGTTGCCAGGCTGGAGTGCAGTGGCATGGTCTCGCCTCACTGAAACCTCCACCTCCTGGGTTCAAGCGATTCTCCTGCCTCAGCCTCCCAAGTAGCTGGGACTACAGGTGCCCACTACCATGCCCGGCTAATTTTTGTATTTTTAGTAGAGATGGGATTTCACCATGTTGGCCAGGCTGGTCTTGAACTCCTGACCTTGTGATCTGCCCGCCTCAGCCTCCCAAAGTGCTGGGATTACAGGTGTGAGCCACCGCGCCCAGCCTAGATTTGGCAGTTTCTAGAGCACATTCTTCCAGTCTCAGATATGAAGAGACATGGCTTAGAATCTAGAGTTTGACTGTTAAACTCAGGAGGAACATGTGTCAAGTCCCTCTCTCCACCTCACACCATCCGAGGGGAGCCTCTAGGTCCAGACCAGGCTACGCTATCTCTCCATCAGCCCCCGTTTTGGCCTTTTCCTTCATCTAATGCCAGTTTAGATTTCCAGGTCTGGACCCTTCTTTGTGCTATTCCTTCTTTCTGGGATACTCTTCCCAAACTCTCTAGCTGGGCCAGCTGCTTCTTGTCCCTCGGTGGCCAGCCGAGACGGGCTGTTTGGCCATTTCTTCTCATTCTTTTTCTTCTAAGGCCAATCCCTGGCTCCATGCGGCAGCCAGCAAGTCCCAAATCCTATTCTGGCCACAGTATCCTACTCCCCTGGTGAAAGTCTTTCCATGTTTTCCAGTGTCCTGAGGACAAAGTCCAAATTCCTCTGCTGGGATGCCAAGGCCACTGGCCAAGCAGGAGTAAGGGAGGATAGATTTGGTGGTAGCCGTGGTGAAGGGCTCCTGTCACGGGCTCTCGCCTTGTCACAAAGGGAGGAGGCTAAGTCTTCTGCAGACAGTGGTGCTGGGGGTGGAAGGTGAGTGCAGAGGGAGGGGATGTTGGGGTTGGGGGTGGTGAAGAGGGTGGAGAGAACTTCAGAGTCACTGTTTGAGCAGGAGCCAACCAGGAAAAGGCAGTGTCACTGAGGAACCGCAGTGCAGATTCAGATGAGAACTTTTTTTTTTTTTTTTGTATCTTCAGTAGAGACAGGGTTTTTGCCGTGTTACCCAGGTTGATTTTGAGCTCCTGGGCTCAAGCAATCCACCCATCTCAGCTTCCCAAAGTGCGGGGATTACAGGCGTGAGCCACTGTGCCTGGCCTCAGCTGAGAAGTTGATAGAGGAGTTCACAGTGACAGCAGGCTGTCTGGCTGTGCAGATTTCTCTAATGGCCACTCACAGTGGGGCAGGTGCATCCAAGGCAGATGGGTGGATTTGTCCATGGAGGGGGTTTGGCTGGGAGGGTGGCACCCAAAGGCAGGGGGCTAAGGACTTGACAAGTCTGTCAAAGAGCAGGTGAAATGATGGCGACAGAACCTTAACCAGGTGGTAAGGGGGTGGACAGGAGAAGGCAGTGAAGTCAGGAGGAAGCAGCTTTACAAAGGGAGAACGGAGATGCCAGTGAGCTTCCGGTTGCAATGGAGGCAGAGAAAGTATTTAGCGAAATGACTTGAGCAGGCTGAAGGCAAGAGGTTGTGGGAAGCCTACGTTAGTGATTGAGGAGGTAGACACATTTCTGCCCTGCCCGTGCCTCACGTAGCCCGTACCATCACCTGTCTTCTGTTATAGCTGGCTGTCCATTACCCTATGGGATCAGTCCTCTGGGGCCATGAGCCCTAGTCTCCATCTCCCGTCCTTCCCGGGAGAGCCTGGTGCTGGACTCGCCCACAGCAGCTGCTCAGTCAGATGCTTATGCCAGGTAACCCCCTCTTTCCCCATTTTCTGAGCCTCTATGCTTCTGCTTTTTCTTTAGTTTCTTAAAAGAAATATTGTAAATAACCGGGCAAGGTGGCATGCGTCTGTAATCCCAGCTACCCCGGAGGGTGAGGCACAAGAACCTGCAAGGCAGAGGTTGCAGTGAGCAGAGATCACGTCACTGCAGTCCAGCCTGGGTGACTCATGGAGACTCGATCTCAAAGAAAAAAAAAAAAAAGAAATAATGTGAGAATTGCAAGAGTCTAACTCTGTCTCAGATGAAAGGAAAGGGTATTTCTCCCCATATTACAGGAAAGCAGGACATTTTGTACTCCCATATCAGGCCAGGAGTGGGTCATAGCGATCGATTGCTCTTGGGCACTCAGGAAGAGTGAGAACTGCGGTAGAGAGCATGGGGCTTTGGGAGGGACAGATTCAGGGACAACAGGGGCAGTGGCCTACTTTCCCTATCCCCTCCCAGTTATAGGTGGGTCTCTCCTTGCTCCTTGCATGCACATTGCCATCTGCCATGCCGGAGTCCTTCATCCACCCAATAAAGAACCTACTCTGTGTCAGCTGGGCGCGGTGACTCACGCCTATAATCCCAGCATTTGGGGAGGCCGAGGTGGGCGGATCATGAGGTCAGGAGTTCAAGACCAGCCTGACCAACATGGTGAAACCTCGTCTCTACTAAAAATACAATAATTAGCCAGGTGTGCTGGCACACGCCTGTAATCCCAGCTACTCAGGAGGCTGAGGCAGGAGAATCACTTGAACCCGGGAGGCAGAGGTTGCAGTGAGCCAAGATCTTGCCGCTGCACCCCAGCCTGGGCAACAGAGGGAGACTCTGTCTCAAAAAAAAAAAAAAAAAAAAGGACCTACTCTGTGTCAAGCCTATGCTGGGAGCAAGGGATGAGCATATGAGCAGATGAGCACAATGCCAGTCTGGTTAGGACGAGCTCACCTGATCAAGGAGACAGGCACAAAAAGAAATAATTGCAGATGGGTCTACAATGGAGGGTGCTGTGGGCATAGAAAGAGGGAAACTCACTGGTCTAAGGGCCAAGGAAGATCCCTGGAGAACTGGATCTTGAAGGACGAGAAGGCAAAGAGCACAGAACATGTAAAGGCTGGCACAAATGAGAGGGCCTGGGGAGTTGGTGGAAATAGCTCAGCAGGGCTGCTCATGGGGTTTTCTGAGTGGGACCAAACCAGGTTAGGGAGCCTGGAAGGGGTGGGCAGCCACAGACAGTCTCTGAGGCACATTTTCGTTTTAGCTTTAGGATGATCACTCTGGCTCAAGGGATGTGCGTGTGCGTGGCCGGGGGAAGGGGAATGAAGAGGAGAAAAGAGCAGAAGCAGGGAGAGAGAAGGAGGCTGATGTGCCACTCAGGCAGGGATGAAGAGGGTCCCTTCTGGGCAGTGAACATGAAGATATGGCTTGCCAGACAAATCTGTGTGAGGGAAAGCAGAGGAGTTGGTGATTTGTCACTGGACTTGGGTGAGGAGACAGTGACGGTGCCATCTAGCACTGCACCGAGTCTCTAACCTAGATGCCCCCTGAGCATGGCACTTCTGGGTGAGAGAGAGGAGCTCGTTCAAGATGAGAGGAGCAGGGTCAGTTTGGAATATGGTAGATATGAGGCACCCCTGGAGCACCCAGGGGAGCCGTTTCTGTTGTCCTTGGCGTTCTGGGACACGCCTTGTCTTTCTCTCCCGGGTCTGTTCACCCTGTTCCCTCCCTCCATTGGCAACACTCTTCCCCTCATCTGTCAGCCCGGTGTTTTCTCCAGGAGACATCCTTGACGTTGCCTGCTGAAAGTCAACTTTTTGTTGTCAGAGCCTCTGTACTGTAACATCTCTTTGAAGACAGGTCTCATTTCCCTGCCTCTCTGGGCATCTTCCACGGGCTTCATGCAGTCGGCACCTCGAGAAGCAGGAAGTGATGAAACACCTGAGTGCTGCTTCCCGTGGATCTCCATCACCCAGGAAATGGCACTGCATGCTACAGAGGGGGGATCCTCCCAGGGCTGACTCCAAGCAGGAAGTGACTCTCACCACCCTAGGGGGTTTGAAACACCTCTCCCATGCCCAGGAACCTAGAGCAGGCCAGCTGGCGCAGCCACTGCCCAGACGCGGGATGTTCTGGTTTCAGAGGTGGGGTAGGGAGCTGTAGCCTCCCAGTCGCCCTCAGGGAATCTGCTGAGGCACAGCCGATGGCAGGTGCAGTTGCCAGAGAAACCAGCTAATAACACCAAACACGTAAGGCCTCATCCTGACCCAGCATGTGAGCAAATGCGAAGGACTCAGGTCCCTCACCTCTCCCTGGGACTGGAAACCAACCACCTTCCCAAGGCTGGCATCCAGTCCGTCCTCTCCCTACCTAACAGGAGAAACCACAGGCCTGACTGAGAAGACCCTCAAGGTACCGTTTATGAGGCTGAGATAGGAGTGAGGAGTTCGTTTTGGATGGGGCGGGGCTTGGGGTAGGGGAGGAAGGGTCTCTGAGGTGAGATCCTGAGATGGAGACAATGACAACGGCAGCCGCCATTTTATTGCACATCAGCCATGAGCCACGCCTTCCATGCACAATGACATTTCATCCCCACAATCGATGAACACAACCATGATAGCCACGAACTCCCAACTCCTCCAGCTGCTAGTGCTCAACGGGGAAATCCCTGCCAGGTCTGTCTCATTGCAGAGCCCATATTCTTTCTGCCTGGCAGCAGTTACTCTCCTCAATGAGCAGGCACTGGTGCAGTCTTGGGTGGACACCAGTCACCCCTATGGAAATCTTTGATGGATGTTACAGGACAGGATTGGATTTGAGGGGTTTTGGAAATGGGGCTCAAGAGTCTTCATCATGAGGTGCTTCTGCGTCTACTGACCTGAGATACAGACAGGAAGTTCCATGGACACAAACACCCAGTTCCAAGGAGGCACGCATTAACCTTCCCATGGTGTGGATGTGTGGGAACACATGGGCTGTTCATCACATTGCACCACTCTTCTGCAATCCACAGAAGAGCTGACCCATGGGGGCATACACGCACTCACGTATACGCACTCATGTATACCCCTGGGGGCATACACGCACTCACGTATACTCAGCGTCCACATGCACTCACACCCTGGCTCAGCTCTGGGGACACTGAGGCCGGTGTGGGAAGAAGGGCTCTGGCTCCATCAGATGAGGCTGGCGATGCTGGATGTGGTCTCATGACGCCGGCCAGCAGACAACTGTCCTGAGATGCTGAAGATGCTGCCATGGCCGCCATGGCCACTGTGGGTGGAGGAGGTGAGCATACAGATGGAAGGGCAGTGTCCGCTCACGCCCACTTGATACAGCAGCAGGCCCAGCAGCAAAAGTGAGCCCAAGGCAGCCAGAGCAATGCCCACAGACAGCATGGCGGCCAGCGGCCTAGCAGGGGCAGGGGCGGCGGCCAGCCCGGCCAGGGTCAGGCCGGTCACCAGCAGCACGAGGCCACTGAGCAGCACCACGAGGGCATCGGCCCCTCCACCACTGCGCAGGAGGGCCACATGGTGGGCCTGGCGGATGCAGTTCATGTCCTGCACGGCCGAGCTCATCAGCTGTTTCACCAGAACCAGCAGAGCCAGCAGACAGAGCACAGTGCCTGTTGCTAGCCGCCATTCACCTGAGCGGCTGCTGGTGGTTGACAGCAGTGCCACGCCGCCCGCGCCACAGCCTGCCACGAGGCCCACTGCCACGACAAAGCAGAGTGCCGAGCGCCGTGGCTGCTGGGACCACCACAGCTCCACCTGCTCTGCCAGCATGTCTGGGGGCAGCCCCCGGCCCCTTGGGGCTTGAGCCTCCTGTTCAGACATGGCTTGGTCAGGCAGGGGTCAGGGTAGGTCAACGTCAGGGGTCAGAGGGTGCAGATCACAGCCTGGAGCACCCGCCACCTGCTTGGCAGCTACAGGCCCAGAGTCCCATTCCTCTCACAGTCCAGGATATAGTCACCCTCACCTGTAGGGGAAGAATCACAGTCTTACCCTCCCAGCCCACCTATCCCCCATGGTCCCACCTGGAGAGCCTTGGGGATGACCCCTGAGAATCCACCCCGGTGTCCCCCCGAATCTCCCCTGGGAAAGCCCCCTCTGCAGCACTGTCCCTTGGAAATGGCTCTCCAATGAAGCCAGAAGAGTATCCTGCCCATACAGTACCCCCCAAAACCCTCCAGGGAATCCCCTCACCCAGGCCCTGACCTCTCTGCCTCTGGCTGTCTCAGTCGCTGGTCCCATCCCGGCTGGCTGAGGGAGCTGGTGCCACGGTGGACGATGGGACGAACAGCCAGAGATAAAGCCTCATTCAGGATCCTACTCACATGGCCTCAGCTGTCACCACTGGTTCCTGGGGGGGAGCTGTGGGGATGGAGGGGGTGCTTATGACTTAACCCTTCTGAAACCAGAAGCCTGACTGACCTTGATACTTCTCCCTCTTTTTTTTTTTGAGATGGAGTCTCGCTCTATCGCCCAGGCTGGAGTGCAGTGGCCGGATCTCAGCTCACTGCAAGCTCTGCCTCCCGGGTTTACGCCATTCTCCTGCCTCAGCCTCCTGAGTAGCTGGGACTACAGGCGCCCGCCACCGCGCCTGGCTAGTTTTTTTTTTGTATTTTTTTTAGTAGAGACAGGGTTTCACCATGTTAGCTAGGATGGTCTCGATCTCCTGACCTCGTGATCCGCCCGTCTCGGCCTCCCAAAGTGCTGGGATTACAGGCTTGAGCCACCGCGCCCGGCCCGATACTTCTCTTTTAGGGCTGTGTCTCCTCCTCCTCTGTGGGTTAGGACCAGACCCCTAACACCCTCCCTCCCCTAACATCCCATCCAATCCCACAGCCATGAGTTTGGTGTTATAAGCTGCCGGTTCCCAAATTCCTCTCTCCAACCTACATCTCCCTCCTGAGTCACTTGTCACTTTGATGTCCCTGTGATGCAACAGGTCCCAACCCAAGCTTGTTATCTTACTCCAACCTGCTCCTCCTGCGTTCCTCACTTCAGGCATGCCATCACCGCCCTCTCGGCCAGCTCCTCCTCCCTCTGCAGTATCTAATCCACATCCTGTCCCCAGGGCTCCACCTCTAAACACTTCTTTAGCCAGTTCCCGGCTCTTGTATTCACAGCTCCCGCCTCCACCTCCTCACTGGTCTTTCTGCTCCCCTTGCTCTTCTCCACACTCGCCATTCCCTCATGCCATCCTCCTCCACGATTTCTCTAAAGTGGAGCAAAGGAAAAAAGAGGGCTCTGGATTTGAACCCCAGCTCCAGTCCTTCCCACCGGTAGGAGCATGGCCAGGCACCTAACAGTGGTTGCTGATTTAACGTGTCTTCCAGAGGACAGCATGTCTCACACTGGGCAAAAATAAAGCACATGAGGTCCCTGCCCTCATGGAGCCCCAGTCTGCAGCAGGAGACAGAGACAGAAGCAAGCAGGCTGATGCCTGTGCTACGTGTGGGTGGGGGTTCGTCAGTCCAGAGCCCTGCAGAGCCCAGGAGAGGGGTCTAGGGGAGGCGCCAGGAAGCCTGAGTGGTTCATCTCTTACAGCCTCAGTCTCCTTATCTGAAAAGTGAGGACAATAACATTTATCTTGAGGGGTGGGGATGAGCCACCTGACATCTTCGTTTCGGAATTCCAACGGGGCCTAGAGCCTGCATAGATGCTCAAAGCGTGCTTTTTGAATACATGAAAATGATGTTACCCCTCCAAAGCAGGACAGGGCAGAAGATGTAGGTCCTGGGTCATTCTGGGAATATTACTATGTGGCTGTACACAGGTTACATCCTGACAAGGTATCTGTCCTCCCGGAGACTCCTCTGCAGAGGCTGACCCCTACCCCCCAGGTGGGCAGAGGCTGGTGCCAATGCCTCCAAGGAAGTGGGGGAGGTGGGCGTGGCCATGGAGTCTGTCCCAGCATTCCCCTGGGCTGTGACTTCACTGGTCTGAAAGTGCTTGCAGAGGTGTGCTGAGATAGCGGGGGCCAGGCTGGGGGCAGGGTGGAGGTTCTCAGGGGAAAAGCGAGTGGGAGAACGTAGGGGTAGTGGGGTGTGGGGGGACAATGGGTAACTCACGAGAAGCCTGGACGTGCTGGATCCCATCCGAGAAGGCAGGGCTGAGCAGGTGGGGCACTCTAGCTCGGTTTCCGGGGAGACACTTCACCTGCCTAACCTGCACTCAGGTGAGCCTGTGGGGAGGAGGATGAACAGGTGTCGTTTCCAGGGCAGGGCCTGAGCCGATTGGCTGACGTGGCACTGCTCCTTCTGCTGGGCAGAGGCATTCCTGGGAAGGGAGGGGCTTCTGTCTGCTGCTGTTAGGGCTGGGAACACAATTCGCCGACCTGGGCAGCAGGAGGAATGTTGTCTATCGGCCCCAGAGTCTGCGCGCCAACCCATTCCCCAGCTCCGACCCGATTTAACTTTAGCTCCAGCTTCAAAACCACCCCCTAACTCCAGCTGCAGCTGCAAACCCTAGCTAGAACCCCCAGCTTCCACCCCTGCCCCAGCTCCTGCCGCACATCTCAGCCCCAACTCCCAGCCCCATTTCCAAATTCAATTCCAGTTCCAACTCCAAATCCAACCTCAAGTCTGGCTAGAAATCTCAGCTCCCAACTCCTAACTCCAACTCAAATTCTGGACTAAGGTCCTAGATCCCAACCTCATGCTCAGCCTGAACCTCGACTCCTGTTCCTGAATCCAGCCCCCAAACCCAACGCCAACCTCAAACCCAGCTTTAGCCCCAAATTCCAACACCAGCAGACTGCAAACACAGCCCCAGTACCTCCATTCCTTGGCCCTAGGCTGGAGCCTCCAAAAGCCCTTCGCTCATTCTCCCTCCAACGCCTGGCTTGCCCCACAGACTGGATCCTACTGGGGAAGCAGGATTTGAGTGAACAGGGAGGAGGGGTGAAGGCCTTTCAGGCGGGAGACAGGAGCTCCCAGAATAAACACTTCAGAATAAACGCCACACTCCTTCACAAGGCTCATAAAGCCTCTGCCACATGCACCAGGTCAGTCATTTGCCACTGGCACCCTGCCCTCCTCTCTGCCCTTCCAGTTTTTGAACTCAAGAGTTCTCTCTTGCCTGGGATATTCGCCACTCCCCAGCCTCAGTCTGAGCGACTTGCATTCTTCAACTGAGATGCCACCTCCTCCAGGAAGCCCTCCCTGATTTGCAGGCTGGTTTAGGTGCCTCTTGCGTGCACCCATGGTCCCTGTTCTTCCCCAACTACTACTCTTACTGCAATGTGCTTAACTGCCTATTATGCATTTACCTGTCATCCTCTGCTAGATGTGTGGTCCCCAGCAAGTACAGGGACAGTGTGTCTTTTACTAATCATCATGACCTCAGTAGCTAGTATGTAGGAAATAATCAACACATATTTGTTGAATAATTGATTAGCAGACTAAACGATAGCGTGAACTGACAGCTGTGGGGGTTTTGAGCAGGAAGCATGTGAGATGAAGCTGGAAAGACAAGTTTGGCTCAGGTGGTTCAGGGTCTTGAAGGCCCATAGTGAGGCACTTGGACCGTGTAAGGGGCCCATGAAGGGTTCTGAAGTTTAACAGGGACACGGTCGGAGCTTCTAATAGGCAAATCTGGCACCACACACACACACACCACCCTCCGGACTGGTGAAAGGCAGGCTGGCTGGAGCTGGTATAGGCTGTCCCTCATCTCCTGGACCAGCCCCTGTGATGTCTCTTGCTGTCTCCTCCTCATGTGTGTGAACTAGAAAAGAAAAACAAGATCACACTTGTCTTGTCATTATCAGTTCACAAAATAATTGTACTTAGCCTGCTTTTGCCATCTCTTTGCTTTGTTCCGTGGAGGTGACTGGAGGCCAGTCATAATTCTAGAACAGCCCTGTCCACTAGAAATATAGCCTGAGCTGCCGGGCACGCTGGCTCACTCCTGTAATCCCAGCACTTTGGTAGGCTGAGGTGGGTGGATCACGAGGTCAGGAGTTCAAGACCAGCCTGGCCAACATGGTGAAACCCTGTCTCTGCTAAAAACACAAAAATTAGCCAGGCATGGTGGTGGGTGCCTGTAGTCCCAGCTACTCAGGAGGCTGAGGCAGGAGAATCGCTTGAACCCAGGAGGCAGAGGTTGCAGTGAGGTGAGATTGCGACACTGCACTCCAACCTGGGTGACAGAGCAAGACTCCATCTCGGTGGGGTGGGCGGAGAAAAAAGAAATATAGTGTGAGCCACAGATATAATTTAAACATTTCTAATAGCTGCATTCAAAAATGAAAAAGAAACCCATACGATTAATACATTGAAATTAATATATTTTAATTGCAAAACACATTTTAATATATGTTATTGATGAGCTATTTTACAGTTTTATTTTGTACAAGGTATTTTATTTTTATTTTTAAAAATAGAGATGGGAGTCTCGCTGTGTTGTCCAGGCTGTTCTCAAACTCCTGGGTTCAAGCGATCCTCCTGCCTCGGCTTCCCAAAGTGCTGAGATTACAGGCGTGAAAAAAGTCTTGAAAATCTGGTGGGTATTATTTTACACTTACAGTGCATCTCATTTATCCCAGCCACATTGCAAATGCCCAGGCACCACATCTGTCATGTGGCTGTGTCCTTACTGGATGGCATGGCTCTAGATGTCCTTCCCCTCAGAGAAAGGTCAGGGCAGGCTGGATCAGGAGGATGGTTGGGCAGAATGGGTGGGGAAACAGTGGTGTGGCATTGCAGGTGTTCATCCTGTCACTTTGCAAAGGATTATAAAGGTATCCCCTTTATAATAAAGGGGCTTGACTCAGAGGAGCAGGGGAGCCAGAGGCCCAACAGGGCTTGCTGGCTGCAGATTCCTCTTGTACACATCTGACATTTATTTACCCACCCTGGTCCCCAGGAGGGTCCAGTCCCAGCCAGACCCATGGGCCAGCTGTTCCAGGCAGAGCTGCAGCAGGGGACCCATGAAATTTTCCTTCTTTTTCCCTTTCCCTTGGGGGTTTGAAGGGAACTTTTTGGATGGGAGAAACAAAGCCTAAAAGCTTTGTTGGTTTAAACATTGATTGGGCAAGGCTCTATTCTAGTTCTGGGTCTTATCAAGTAACTTGGAGTCAAGTGGAAAGGCAGGCTTCTCACAGGGCTGTTGAACTCTGTCCCCAAAACAGAGGTTGTTGGGGTAATTCAGACTGGTGACGGTGAAGGTCAGCAGGAGGAGGCAGCCGTGGGCACAGAGCGGAAGGTGCGGACGAACCACCCGCAGATTCACAAGAAGGTGGCGAATGGGAGTACTTGGGGGAGAACGCAGAGGCTGCGGGGCTGTCTCCCAGCTTCTGCCATGTTCCCACCACAGGCTGTTCTTAACTCAGTGGCCCCAGTGATCCAGTTAGGAGGTGCAGAGTCCTTCCAGCGGCCCACCTCCCTCAGAGGAGCAGAGTCCTCCCGCCGCCTTAAGGCCCTCTCTGGCTTCATTCCTATTGCCTCAGAGCCTCTGCAACAGCAGCTCCATCTGCCTGGAATGCTTCCGATCCACATGACTCCCTCCCTCCCTCCTTCAGGAATGTTCTCAAATGGCATCTTCTCAGGGAGACCTCTTGGTCACCTTGTCTCAAATTGCAACCTCCCCAGTACTTCCTATCCCCTGTCCTTATGTCTTTTATTTCCTTATGTTTCTCCTTAGCATGATCACTCTGACATGCTATATATCTTTCTTATTAAATGGGAGTTTTGTCTCCTAGATAGTAAGCTTCCTGAAGGAAAGGATTTGTGTCTGTTTACTGTCCTATCCCTACCTCCTGGAACAGGATTGGCATAGAGTAGGTGCTCAATAAACATTTGTTGAATGAATGAATGAATAGTGGAAAGAACACTGGGTTTGGAGCTAGATTGATCTTGAAGGTTCAAGCCCCAGCTCTAGCTGTGTAACTGGAGAAAAACTGCTTAATCTCCATGCGTCTCATTCATTTGTAAGACGGAGATGACATAACTTACTTTATATAGTTGTAGGGGGATTAAATAATATAATTCGTCTGGGCACGGTGGCTGGCACCTATAACCCAGCACTTTGGGAGGCTGAGGTGGGCAGATAACTTGAGGTCAGGAGTTCAAGACCAGCCTGGGCAACATGGTGAAACCCGGTCTCTACTAAAAACGCAAAAAATTTGCTAGGTGTGGTGGCGGGCGCCTGTAGTCCCAGCTACTTGGGAGGCGGAGGCAGGTAATTGCTTGAACCCAGGAGATAGAGGTTGCAGTGAGCCGAGATTGCACCACTGTATTCCAGCCTGGGCAACAGAGCAAGACTCCTTCTCAAAAAAAGAAAAAAAAGAATGAATCCATTCAGCATCCATTGATCATATCCTTCCTGTGGCCCAGGTGTTGTGCAGGTGCTGGAGATACTGTGGTGAGTGGAGAGGCACTGTTCTTGCCATCCTGAGGGCGGTCTCAGGGGACAATGGGTGTAAGGCATAGCACCTACAGGCTTCCAGTGTCTCCAGGCGCCCACTCCCTTCTTAGTGAGTGATAGTTCCCCGAGATAGACATCTTTTGGAGTATTGGTCCCATTCACCATGACCATCCTCACTGCAAGGAAGAATCCCAACGACCAGATTATGTTTTGTGACCCACCACTGCAGCTACAGTTGATTAGATAGAGCCTCAGACTCTAGCTAGGCACCCAGATAGGTGAGTGTCCTTTGTGGGTCCAGACAGCAGGATCTGCTCCTCCCAATTTGGGAAATTTTAAAAGGAATTTCCATTTGTAGGTGGAACAAGCCCAACTGACTGAGAGGGAAGCGCTGCGACTGTTTCAGTACGGACACTCTTGGGGACTTGTTTGTACTTGTGTGTTATGTCCCAGCAAGTGAGCATCTTTTCTGGGTACCAGATGGCGGGGTCAGCTCCTCTCAATTTGGGAAATTCCTTAAGGAATTCCCATTTGCTGGTTGATCAAGCCCAAACACAGAAGAGAGAGGAAGCACCCTGACTGTTTCAGTTTGGACGCTCTAGGGGCTTGTGTGTTGCTGCAGTAGTTGGATAGTGTTCTGGTGACTGTGTGTGTTTGATACAGTCATGAGGAATTAGAATTCAATTTGATATTCTTTTGCAATACTGTTTGGCCCCAATCTTGTTTGGAATCTGGAGTTGGCTGTTGAATGGGAAAGTGGGATGGAGTTGCATGTATCCAGGCTTTTGCGGTGCTGCTGTAAGCTCAGTCGGGCCTGGTTAATATGCGATGTTTTCCTTTGGTGCTGTTTAGCCCCAGTGTTCTTCGGAGTCTGGGGAGGTTTGGCCCTTAAAAATCAAACTGCCATGAAAACTGCTTTACCCAAAATTTTGGCTCATAGTCTTTGTTGGATTACCTGTCAGGGCAAACAAAGTGTAACCATGTAAAGCTGGTGAGTTTGTATTGCTATGGCATGGGTGAAGTTTCAAGGTAAAAGCTATTGGATTTTCACTTGTATATGTGTCTACATACCTAGATGTGTTTATTTGTATGTACACTTGCTGTTGTATGTTGTGTTGGCTTATAAGAGCGCTCATAAATTAAGCAAATAAGTCTAAGCAATTTTCTTTTCTTTTCTTTTTTTTTTGAGATGGAGTCTCGCTGTGTTGCCCAGGCTGGAGTGCAGTGACGTGATCTCGGCTCACTGCAAGCTCCACCTCCTGGGTTCACGCCATTCTCCTGCCTCAGCCTCCTGAGTAGCTGGGACTACAGGCGCCCGCCACCACGCCTGGCTAATTTTTTGTATTTTTAGTACAGACGGGGTTTCACCATGTTAGCCAGGATGGTCTGGATCTCCTGACTTTGTGATCCTCCTGTCTCGGCCTCCCAAAGTGCTGGGATTACAGGCGTGAGCCACCGCACCCGGTTGAAGCAGTTTTCAAGTTCACATGACTTAAGTAAATCTTTACTAAACAAACTGGTTTTAAAATTATTG